CCCCAAAACCCCAAAACCCCAAAACCCCAAAACCCCTTGGTTTAGCATATCAATGGGGAAAAGAGAATGATAAAATAGTTTGAGGTAATGTTTTTTAATATGAAGATAGCTAAATTCTATAATTGTATTGTCAACTGGAATCTTTTATTATACTCATTTACCCCAAAGATTGTAAAGTGATATTGAAGAGGAGATGGTACCGAAGAATCCTGCAAGTTACGAGCTAACCTTTTCTGATCCCATGAAATGGAAAATAACTGGGATATCGACACTGCTTCTGATGATTGACAAAAGTTTAAGGAAGTGTTACATCTACAAATTTTTCATCTTTGATTTGTAATCACTCACAGCACTTTGATCACTGCTATCAACTTTACTTTTCTAGGTAGCTCTCTATTTCAAGATATAAGATGAATTTATTTGACTTACCAAAATCTTGATCTCTTTTTGGATGGCCATGAGATCTACAAGATCACAAATGATATCAAGTGAGGCATTTATAAACCAAGCTACATTATTGTAGTAGTCAATCTTGCTAACTAAATCTTTCTCCATCTTGACTAGTCCAACTCTCTGGAAGTAGAGTGGGTGATCAGTCAAGAAATAAAGAATCAAGAATAGATCTGATAATATTCTCCATAAAAACATTCTCACTGGCTTCTTTTAATGCTCAGCAATTCTATCAATGATTCCCTTGATAAGTGGGATAGGTTTACCAAATCTCAGAACTTTACGAGTAAGTGACATGTTTCCTCCTAACTTCTCTAATTTCTCCTTGAGTTCGTTATTCTATGGACCCTATGCAGCTATAGTTGGGACAATAAACTTAGCGAAGTATTGCACAAATCTGCATGTCTATAATAATGAATTAGAGAAGGATTATGATTACCTTGTCTCTACCCAACTAGGTATTTATAGTTCTGAGAGAATTCTCAAGGACGTCATTAATATTCATTGTGATATAATTTTAATTCAAATTATTGACTAATATTTCAATATCAATTTATAATCATAGTCTGCTGGGGTTTTGGGGTTTGGGGGTTTTGGGGTTTTGGGG